TTATTATTATTATTATTATTATTATTATTATTATTATTATTATTATTATTTTTGCACCAGTCTGCAGATGCTCACTGTGGAACAGCTGGAGAAGAGCAAAAATAAGAAGTCGTCCTGAGGACCAGAGCCTTGTCTTCCGCACCTCTTGCCCGGGAGATGAATGGTGACTTCTGGAAAACACGGCTTTGTCTGCTGACTTTGTATGGGATTCCGGTGGCCGACACACACACACACACACACACACACACACACACACACACGCTCTTCACAAGGAAAGACTGTTTCCAACATAACTCTTGTGCTGCTATTTGGACCAGTTCAGGACACCCTATTCGAGCTGAGAGCTCCATGCGTTCAAAGTGGTTCATTTTTGGTGGGTGGGGTTGGAGTCCATGCATTCAACTGGTTTGTTCTGCATACTCTAGCAAGCCTCCTCCAACCTGGTGCCCTCCAGATATTTTGGACTACAACATCCTTCATCCACAGCCGGCGTGGTGATTAGCCAACCGTGTCTGGTGTTGTTAAGCGTTATCTGTTTTATCTCTAGGCTGTTCAACAAACACGACCTCACGTAGGAACCAACCTCTGGTTAAGTGATCCTTTTCCTGTTTTATGTCTTCTCAGCTCACATTTTTTTGACTCCTCTTGAATCCCAGTTGACGTTTCTGATTTGGGATTTTGGTCCAGTTTTTCAAACTCCTGGAGTTTCTTGAATTAGCTTAAAGGGGTTAAACCCTCATTTGAGCTGTAAATTCCAGGATGCTTTGAGGGCTGTGAAAAGTATCTGTGGCTTAACTTTTGATATCATTCCTTTTAAGAACTGATTGGAAGTCGAGAGTGACTGAGACCATGTCATCCCATTGCTCTTTATCGGAGGTGGGCAGCTATGGTGACTTTACGACCCGTGGACTTCATCTCCCAGAATTCCCGTGCGGGCTCAGGAATTCTGGGAGTTGAAGTTCACAGGTTGTATAAGTTGCCTTAGCTGTCCATCATCTTCTTTTAACAAGCCCATAATCCCTTGTGGGATGGAGTCTGGACAACTGAATGGAGCTGAGTGTTTACTGGCTGGATGCCTTTCCTGTCGCCAATGCGGAGTTTTGTTCACACCGCACCACTCTTTGCCATAGCTGTCCATCCCTGCTCTATATTACTGGCCCTTCAACTACCAGAACCCAATTCAACCAAAAGTGGTGGGGGGTGGACAATGTTGCTATAGGAAAATTGCTTTGCCCCCCCTCCCCCATGGAGCCTGTAATGCCCCAAGCAGCCACAGGGGGCAGTACGAGGTACAGCATGAATAGCTTATCCATTTTGAGTGTGCAGGGGGTCCTTGGTTTACAACCACAATTTGGAACAGAATTTCCATCGATAGGCAAGGCGGTTGAGTTAGTCTGGATTTTATGAACCATTTTTGCCACGGTTGTAAAGTGAATCACATGGTCGTTAAGCAACTGGCTTCTCCCATTGACTTTGCTTGTCGGAAGCCAACTGGGAAGGTCACATATGGTGATCACATGACCCCGGTATACTGCAACTGTCATAAATACATGCGGATTGCCAAGGGGGTCCAGATTTTGATTGTGTGACTGTGGGGGATGCTATGATGGTCGTAAGTGCGAGGACCGGTGGTAAGTTACTTTTTTCAGTGCCATTGTAACTTCAAAGTCATGGAATGAATGAATGGCTGGAAGTTCAAAGATTACCTGCACAATAACCCGATGCATTTAAGACATAGCATATACTGCCCCCAGTGGCCCACATAGGTATAAACCGCTCTGCAGGGAAAATACCGCTATGCTTTTAAACCAAAGGATTGACTGCTCCAGGAAAGTTGCCTTTAATTTGTTGATAGTTGGCCAATATCCTTTTTACTTTTTCTCTTTAAAGGGACTTTATGTGTTCTCTTACAGGAAAAAAAAAGAGCTTGAAAGAATCTGATGTTTGCTTCTTTTCTTTTCTGTTTTCTTTTTTGACAATGATCACCTGACCACCCAGCGCTGCATGGTTTAATTAATTCATTTATTTGTACAGCTCCTTTATTATTATTAACTCAAGGCATTGAGCATACTTGATATTCCTTCCTCCTCCTATTTTGCCCAGAAAAACAATCTTGTGAGGTGGGTTGGTCTGAGAGAAAAGGACTGGCCCAAATTTATCCAGCCAGTTTTTCATGCCTATAGTTGTCCTAGAACTCAAAAGGTGCTTTTCCAAGAGGCAACTGGACTTTCTGAGTTTTTTTTTTTTTTTTGGAAACGTTTCACTTCTCACCCAAGAAGCTTCTTCAGCTCTGAAGAAGCTTCATGGATGAAGAAGCTAAAGAAGCTTCTTCTGATGAGAAGAGACATGTCTTCAAAACAAAACCAGAAAGTCCAATTGCCTCTTGAAAAAAGCACCTTTGAGACAACCATGACCTGAGAATCTCCATAGTCAAAGTCTCTTGGTTTCTAGCCTGGGGCCTTCACCATTGCACCAAACTGGACCTTATTGGTGGGGTTACTAAAGGATTAGCCAATCATTTGAAAAATATGGAAGGGGAACACTTTATAGCTTAATAAATAATGAAATAAGCTAGCCATTGGCAAGAGAAGATACCACTGGCATCTAAAATTCCAGGTGAATTTGGCTCAATTGTGTTTGGTCTATTGTGCTTTAATTTCTCAACAGCCTCTTTATGAGCAATGAAGAATATATATTTGACCTGATATTAAGAATGACCCACTCTCCTAGAAAACAGACACATATATTAAAAATGAACCATTTTAAGAATTTCCTTCAAGTTTACTTTTATTGGCTTTTTCTATGCGACTCTGGAGCTTATGACTTTGGCATATCCCTGATTCTTCTTGGGGACGACTGGTTAGTATCCGAAGTCCTGAAGTGAGAAGTTATCAAATGTTTTAGCATCTCTTGGAGATGATGGAAGTTTCACCTGAGTCTGATTTTCAAAACACGGTGGGAGGATTCTCTTGTAATTTATGGTGTAATTCTCCCGCATTCTGGGGAATTTAGACATCTACAAATCGAAAGTTGAGTTCCTTGGATTTGGATGGTATCACTATAATTCCCTCCCAAAGTGGAAAGGGGGTGTTTTGTTTTGTGTTTGAGGATGGGTGTGAGTGTGTACCTTCTCTTTCATCCTTGGGAATAGCCAACCTATTGAATACGAAAGGGAATCCCTGTTCATTGCTGATGCAGGAATACGGGATGTTTGCACCAATTTCTCTGTCCTTTGCTTTCATGTCCCAAATCTCCCTCTCCTGTAGCACATTCCACAAATGTTTAAAAACAGAATTGTAGATATTAGGTCTACCCGGATACCACTTTGCATTTAATTTCTAATATCTAGTTCAGGGGTGTCCAACCTTGGCAACTTTAAGACTTGTGGACTTCAACTCCCAGAATTCCTCAGCCAGCAGACCAGGGGTCTCCAACCTTGGCAACTTTAAGACTTGTGGACTTCAACTCCCAGAATTCCTCAGCCAGCAGACCAGGGGTCTCCAACCTTGGCAACTTTAAGACTTGTGGACTTCAACTCCCAGAATTCCTCAGCCAGC